TCATGAAAAGTCTTTTTTGTTTGGTTGGGTTTTTTAATAAGTTTGTGGTTTGTTTTTTTTTCCAGTGGACTCAGCGGAAACCTCCCTGTTGAACAAACTGATCCGCACGTCCCTCATGGAATCCAGCCACTGCGTGGAGATCCTGCAGCAAGACCCCAGCTCCCCGCTCTTCTCTGTCAAAACCTTCGAAGAGCTGCCCCTGTGAGCTGCCGGCGGGCCCCTGGCCTGGCACAACTGAGAGCCGCCATCGTTCATCAAAGGAGCCCTTTTTGATGCTTTTTTTTCTTTTTCTTTTCCCAGGAAGAAGGAGCTCTTGTGGGGGATTTACATCACGGGCTACAACAGACCATCCAAAATCCAGGAGACGGCTCTGCCGATCATGCTGGCGTATCCGTGAGTAGTAATGCCACATGGGTGAGCCCGGCTCCCTTGAGGTATTCCCGGCGTCGGGATGCCAAGCCAGGGATGCCCAACCCTTGCATGCCACTAAGCAGCCTTTGCCTTGCAGGCCCCAAAATCTGATTGCCCAGAGCCAGTCAGGGACAGGGAAAACGGCAGCTTTTGTCTTGGCGATGTTGAGCAGAGTTAATGCCGCCGAGAAATATCCACAGGTAACGTAGGAAAGGGAAAGCTGATGCAGGAGGGGTTTGCCCAAGCCCTCGAGACGCTGCCTTGGAGGCAGAGCTCTGTTTTTTGTCCCCGTCTCTGTGTGATTTTATCCGCTGGAGGGGGACGATAAAACTGCAGGTACCGTCACAGCAGCTGGTAGGACAGAAAGCATGGTGCCTGCTAAAGGGAGGGACTTTTACTTGCTAATAGAGGATTAAGCCAGGCTTTAGATACCCTGGAATTTAAATTTGCAAAAGTAACTGCAGATACTGCTGGTTTTCTGGTGGCTTAAACGCCCTCATGAGTCCTGGTCACCTCTCTGCGTGCAGAATCACCTTTGCAAGCGGGTTACTGCAATTTAAAGTTTCTCACCTCAAGCGTATGGGGCGATTTAACCGGTTGCTTTAACGCTGGGTGTAGAAATGAACTGCACCATGCTTCGGGAGGCAAATTTCCCCCTCAAAAATAGCTACAGTGACTTTTTTTTCTGCCTAAATTCCTCAAGCTGTGCTGTGTTCCCAGCTCCTGAAACTCCAAACGATTCCCCGATCCCCTTGCGCTTTGGAGGGAGTTTAGTGGTGTGGGATTTTCCCGTGCTTTTCTTTCTGTTCCTTCGAAATACCTTGTTGGCTGCCCGGTGTATCCCACCCCAGGAGTGCTCTCAGCTTTTAAACGAGGTGTTTCTCATCTGACAGCTCTCTTCTCTCCCCACAAGTGCCTCTGCTTGGCTCCCACCTACGAACTGGCCCTGCAAATCGGGCACGTGATTGAGACGATCGGGCAGTTTTGTGCCAACATCAAGGTTACGTACGCTGTCCGGGGAAATCGAGGTGAGTCCGGTCGTGCCGAGCAGAGCTACCGGGAATGTTGAGTGTAGGGATCCTCTCTTAGAGCCTTGAGCTACCAGGAGCCGTGTAGACCTTGGTGAAGGGCGATAAAATAGCGTCTATATTCCCCTTTTGTGCTAAAGAAGTCTTTTTTGCGACCGCTGGCTGCTTCCAGGCTCCTTCCTTCTCACGTTGGCTGGTTTCCAGCCCTGCTTACAATTTTAACCTCAAGCTCCTCTTTGCGGTAACCCCCTCAAAGGCCGGAATCTGAGATAACCGAGAGAAACATGCGTTCAAACAGCAAAAACGCGCCGTGTTTGGAAGCGTTCGGATGCGATTTCCCCTCTCGCAGTTTTGCAGGGCACAGCGCTGGAGGAACAGATCATCATTGGGACTCCGGGGACGATGCTGGACTGGTGTTTCAAACGGAGAGTCATAGACATAAAGAAAATCAACATGTTCGTGCTGGATGAAGCTGACATCATGATCGATTCGCAGGGCCTCTCCTATCAAAGCATTCGCATTCAGAGGTGAGTATTCCTGATGGCTGGCATCCCGCTTTCCTGGTTTTTCCCTCCCTCTTTGCTTGGCATCGAGGGAGGCGGTAGCCAAACAACCAAGAGCGCGGCCCTGGGATGTCGAGGGGGCTTGCTGCTGTCAGAATTGGCTTTTGCACATCAACAAGCTCTGACCTGTTCAGTCCAGGGATCCGGCTTTCTGCAAAACCGCAGCCGTGAGACACACGGGAAGGTTTTTATTTCACTTTGAGCTGTTACAGCCCTTGGGTTGGGTTCCCTTTCTATTGAAGGCGATGCAAAATCAGCTTAAATTAACTTTAACTTTCTAATGAGTACATCTGGGCACCGGGCCACTTTCCTGGGCTGACGACTCCTGGTTTTTTTCCTCCTCCAGGGCTTTACCCAAGAGCTGCCAGATGCTGCTGTTTTCAGCCACTTTCAAGGAAACGGTGCGAGCGTTCGCCGTGCAAATCATCTCCAACCCCATCGTGATAAAACTGCGTGAGGAAGAGCTCACCCTGAGCACCATCAAGCAGTACTTCTTCGTCTGCAAAAGCAGGGAGGAGAAATACAGAGCCATCTGCAACATTTACGGCAGCATCACCATCGGTCAGGCTATGATTTTCTGCCAGGTAAAACACCTCAACCTGCCCGGCGAGAACAGAAATGGTTTGTTTTACAGTAGGGATGCGTCGGGTAGGGTGGGGAGGCTTCTCCCAAGACCCTCAAAATCAAGGAGAAGACCCCAGGGAGGGGTTGGGGAAAGTGCTGGCAGCATTTAAAGGACAGCCCTGTAGTGAAGGCAGCTTTTAAAAGCGTCTCTCTTGCCGCTTGTGACCGCTTTTGTCTGGCTTCCACGGTCAGCAGTACACGGAAAACACCGCTTTGCTTCCTTGCCCTTTGCGCTGCATGTCCTGACGGAGCCTTCTTGCTTGCCCACGTCGTTTTTTGCTTTATTTTGAGGTGTTAAAAAGTGCGGGGAGCTCCCTCGAAAGGAGCAGGGGGACTCAGGAAGGGGAGAGGGGGAAGAATATCGGCGAAGGGTTTGTTGGGGAGCGACAGCAGAGCTGCTGCGAAACCTCAGCTTGCTTCTCCCCGTGCGTCCAGACTCGGCGGAGCGCGGACTGGTTGTCGGTGGAGATGAGCCAGGACGGGCACCAGGTAGCCATCCTGACGGCGGAGCTGACGGTAGCCCAACGGGCCGATGTCATCCAGCGCTTTCGCGACGGGAAGGAAAAAGTTCTCATCGCCACCAACGTCTGCGCCAGAGGTAACCTCGCAAAAAACTAACGCCTTTCCGACAACGCGAAACGCGTTTCGGAGTTTCTGGTTCTTTTGGTGACGGCGTGGGCTCCAGCAACGGATCCTCCCCGACCAGCGGGGTGAGGTGATCCCTTTCCATAGCACACCCCCCCCTTTTCTTTTTTTCCTCTCTCGTTCAGGGATCGACGTGCAGCAAGTCACCATCGTGGTGAACTTCAGCCTCCCCACCGATCAGAAGAACGAACCGGATTTTGAGACATACCTCCACCGTATCGGACGAACGGGACGTTTTGGGAAGAAAGGCATCGCCTTCAGCATGGTGGAAAGCCAAAACGTGGGACTCGTAAAGATGATAGAGGAGCATTTCCGTGAGTATCCGTGCGTACCCACCTCTCCGGAAGGTGGTTTTGGGACCGGTCGCTTCCCCTTCCGGCTCATTTCTCATCTCAAATGGACCTCGTCGGGTTGTTCTTCTCCCCGGGGCTCATCCCACTCAGGACAGGCGACAGACGCAGCTCTCGGCCCCTCACCCTTTTAGGGTTGGGTTTGGTTTTGTTTTTTTCCTCCTAGCAGCCAAATTTTCAGAGAAACATCCGAGGAGGTTGTGCCTGACTTGCAAGGGATGTGACAAGTCCTCAGGATGCCTCAGAGCCTCTTTTTTTTTTTCCCCTTTTTCAGACGTTTTGTCCGCCTTTACCCTTCAAATTCCTGTCCTGGAGGGGGGAGCTGGTGCCCCCTCTTAGCTCAGCCCTGGTTGTGGGAGAGAAGCTGAAATCTTTTGCTGAGCAGAAATCGATTCTCACTTGTAAACATCCAAGCGGATTTTCACAGGATTTGCCAGATGCCGTGGCTGCACCGGTGGCTTTTTGAAATCCCGGTGCCTGTTTTTTTTTTTCCCCCTGTGATTTTTAGGGAAAAGAAAGTTATTGGAACCTTTCAGCGCGCAGAAAACCACATCCCTTCCTCAGCTTTGTCCTGAGAGCTGCTGAACTCTCTCGGCAGCTTGTCCTTTACATTAAAAAGAAGGAGACGCAAGCCGGATAGCCTGGAAAAGATTGATTTTTTTTCTTTTCCAAGCAGCAGAAGCGTCAGACAACTGCGATGAGCAGCTTGAGTAACCACGAGGTGGACAGAGTTAGCCAAAAAAGGAGCCCAGTGTGGAATCTCCAAGGGATGAAAAAACCCAAGTGGATGAACTCCCTGACTTTTGCTTTTTAACGCCGTGAAGTTGCGATTCGAGGGCCGGGGCTGCCTGACGAGGAGAACGAACCTTCCCCAGCCCGCATCGCTTCGGAGGTGGGAGCAGAGAGCGGGGAACACATCCGGAAACCTAACCCGACTCGCTGCTTCTCGCTTGGGCCGCCTCTTCCCTTTCTTAGCAGCCTTGTCTTGGCAGCTGTCCTTCATCTGATTTACACCGTGCTTACTCCCAGTTTACTCAGCTATCGCTTTGAAGGCCACAGAGTAGAAATACTACAGCGAACGCTTCCGGGGAGCTTTCCACCTCGCGTCTTGTGCACGCAAGCGGCGCAAACAGCAGCTCGTGGGGTGGTTGGGTTTGGTTTTTCACCCTGGTTGTGCCAAGCCCTGATTCATTTTTTTATTTTTTATTTTTCCTTCCTACAGAGACCAAGATCAAGCAGCTGGACCCGGATGACATGGAGGAACTCGAGAAACTTGAAAACTGAGCGAGGAGCGGGGATTTGCTCCCCCAAATCTGAATTTTGGTTCAAAACCGAAGGAAAAGTTTCAGGGGGGGGAAAAAAACCCAACTCCCAGTTCTGTTACAACTTCCTAAAGCTGTTTGGGTTTGTGGTGATGGTTTAGGAGAAGGCGGCGGGGGAACCCTCAGACCCCGTAATTATTTGCCGTAGGGTGGTTTTTTTTCTGTTGTTGTTGTTCCTTGTCGTATCTCTGAGGTTTTCATAGTTGTGACTTTTTGCGGGGCTTGAGGAATCGTTTCCCCCTGCGCTGAGGGACTTAACAGGGGGTAGCGTTCCTCAAAAATGGATCTAGGGGACGCTTGGGAGTGGTCAGAAAAAAGGTAAACTCCGGTAACTGGCCTAAAAAAAATCAAATATAAAAATCCTTTGCTCGTCACCAGGCACCAAAATTTCAGAGAAAACTTGAATAAGGACAGGAAAAAAAAAAATATGGAGAAAGGAGCGAGTTATTAAAAATAAATAACCGGTTCTCGCTAGATGGCAGCATGAATCCGCCGCTGCAATCCCAAATCCCGTCGGGAGCTGAAATGTGAGCGTTG